CAGTGCTCTTGCTGAGTGTGCGTGACTGGGTGTGATGGTTGGAAGAAACAAACTGAGCAGATCATGTTTTTTAAAATGATTATCTAATTTTGTTAACTCTTGGTGGCATTGTTATATTGTTGATATTTATGAATTACAGAAGTTAGATGACTGTGAAAAAATAGAGAATTAGAGATTAAAGCACTGTTGGCCTGCGAGTGGAGTATAGATTTGGGCTTTCCAGAGCACATAAAATTTGTATTTATCTTTCTGAGTGCCAATTTTTCCACTTTCATTGAGCACATTTATTTTAGTAAATTTAACTTAGCAAATTTAATTTCTCCAGTTATTTACAAATAATCGTATTAAGTGAAGTTTGGATGAATGGGCACGTCCATTTCAAATTTCTAACATAATTTTTTCCCCTTGTTCTCATATAAAATTTTCTATTTATGTGTTTTTATTTAAGATAGCTCAAATCTTTTGTGGACTGATATTGTATGTTAATAAATAAATGGATTCAGTGCTTCTTTCACTCAATACAGCCAGATAAATATATAAATATACTTGAACACAAATACAAAGCAACCATTGGCAATTTAGAGTTGGGTTGTGTTTCCACTTATTTTTTTTTAATAAATTTGGTTTTAACCTGAAATACTGTCTTGTAGGAACAGATAAAGAACACAAGAGGTGATTTAACATAAGTTTTAGCTGTGAAACTTAGAGTAGATTGGTTAGCAACTTAAATTTTGCAAGAAAATAGGATGTTTCAATGGAAGAAGTTAGGAACACACCCATTGCATGAGCTCCTTACCCCTCCCACCCAGCCCCATCTCCGGAGTGAGATTTTTCCCCAGATCCTCTGTAACTTCCTGATGTTCACTGAGAACATAAGAAGTACTGATGGCAATTGCTGCCATGTAGCAATGCATTGAGAGTCAGGGCCTCTGGCACCTCCATGGGCTCAGGGTCTGAAGACATGATCCAAACCCGACAACTTGGTGGCAGGTTCTGTGAGCATTCGTGATGAAGTTGTGAAAAGAGCTTGGGGTCTAGGAGGATGGCAGCAGAGGTTTCTGCCTCCAGGTGTGAGTGAGGGGCTTTTGAAGTAGGAGAGCAACTAGAAAAAAGGAGTGGCATAGGGACAGAAACTTCTTTTCCCCATTGTTTGTTCAAGGCCACGTGGGTGGAGTCATTGAAGTGGAGATTTAACCCTGTGAGGCAAGTTTCTCTAGTTTAGTCAGGCTGTCTGTCATTGGGCTTTTCCCTCTTCCTCCTACTACATACTTCTTCCCTATTCCTCCTACTGAGGCCATTCACCCCTTAGTTGTAATTTTCCCTGTAACATGTTTTACATTCTGATTAATTCTGAAAAAGAATGTGGGGTTTCCTAGATGATTTCATCTGTTGTTTCATTTCCTTTACAATGTAGGTTTTCTTTTCTGTCTCTTTGGATTAGTCTGACATTTTTGCTCTGTCTACCAAGGATCCCTTTCTATAGACTTCTATAGATCCCTTTCTATAGAAGTTAATCTACTTAGGTCAGGGAGACCACCAAGAAAGAAAGAGCCCATGCTTTCAATCTTAGGCGTAAGGTAGCTTGATAAGATTTTCAGAAAAATTCCCTTTTAACCACAGAACTCCCCCACTGGAAAGGATTCTGAAAGAAATGAAGTCAGCCCTCAGAAATGAAGTTGACTGCCTGCCTGCTGGCTTTCTGTTGACTGCCCCGGAGCTGTACTTCTGCAGACCCTTGTGAGCTTCTGTAGTCTAAGAGTAGGATGTCTGCTGAGGTCATCCATCAGGTCGAAGAAGCACTTGACACAGATGAGAAGGAGATGCTGCTCTTTTTGTGCCGGGATGTTGCTGTAGATGTGGTTCCACCTAATGTCAGGGACCTTCTGGATATTTTACGTGAAAGAGGTAAGCTGTCTGTCGGGGACTTGGCTGAACTGCTCTACAGAGTGAGGCGATTTGACCTGCTCAAACGGATCTTGAAGATGGACAGAAAAGCTGTGGAGACCCACCTGCTCAGGAACCCTCACCTTGTTTCGGACTATAGGTAATTCATCACCTCTTCCTGAGGCTGGATACGTGGGAGGGATTGAAGTGTCTCAGACTCTACTGAATGGCAGAAACGAGGATAATAAGAAGTGCAGCCACTTTACTGTCTCTGCCCACTTATCCAACTGCCAGATGACGTCACTTCATTCCTGTGAACCCTTTAAATTCTTGAAACTTTCTCTCTTTTCCTTTCTCTTCTCTTCTCTTCTCTTTTGACA